GCAGGAGGGAGGTGAGGGCAGCGGGAGGGCGGTGAGGGCAGCAGGAGGGAGGTGAGGGCAGCAGGAGGGAGGTGAGGGCAGCAGGAGGGCGGTGAGGGCAGCAGGAGGGCGGTGAGGGCAGCAGGAGGGCGGTGAGGGCAGCAGGAGGGAGGTGAGGGCAGCGGGAGGGAGGAGGGGGCAGCGGGAGGGCGGTGAGGGCAGCAGGAGGGCGGTGAGGGCAGCAGGAGGGAGGTGAGGGCAGCGGGAGGGCGGTGAGGGCAGCAGGAGGGCGGTGAGGGCAGCGGGAGGGCGGTGAGGGCAGCAGGAGGGAGGAGAGGGCAGCAGGAGGGAGGAGAGGGCAGCAGGAGGGAGGAGAGGGCAGCAGGAGGGAGGAGAGGGCAGCAGGAGGGAGGTGAGGGCAGCAGGAGGGCGGTGAGGGCAGCAGGAGGGAGGAGAGGGCAGCAGGAGGGAGGTGAGGGCAGCAGGAGGGAGGTGAGGGCAGCAGGAGGGAGGTGAGGGCAGCGGGAGGGCGGTGAGGGCAGCAGGAGGGAGGAGAGGGCAGCAGGAGGGAGGAGAGGGCAGCAGGAGGGAGGTGAGGGCAGCAGGAGGGAGGAGAGGGCAGCAGGAGGGAGGTGAGGGCAGCAGGAGGGAGGAGAGGGCAGCAGGAGGGAGGAGAGGGCAGCAGGAGGGAGGTGAGGGCAGCAGGAGGGAGGTGAGGGCAGCAGGGCTTCCGAATGAGGGCGGGTGAGCGATCAGAGAGACAGGACATTGCGGCCTCTTCACTTAGGAGAGCAGGGAGGGCCCTGGGCCAGGGACAGAGCTGGGCACAGTGTGGCCGCGACCCACCCTCACCTTCACCCCTGGGCTCTGACAGCACCTCACCCAGGTCACACTGAGGCCCTTCAGACCCAGGCAGGTGTGTCTCAGCTCCTCTCTGGGGAGGACCCCCCCCCCCCCCCCCCCCCCCGCCGTCTGTCACTGATGTGTCTTGTCGCCCCAGGTTCGGTCCCCCTCAGCCCTGAGCCCACAGTCAGCAGCTTCCCTTCCCGCAGCCAGGGCAGCCTGTTGTTGGCAGGGGAAGAGAGAAATGCTCGGCCCCTCACAGTGTGACCGCCCTCACTGTCCCACCTCAGTCGCCACAACGTGGGGACAGTGGATCCGGAGGAGCGACAGCGGAGAGACAGTGTGGGCTTCCGCCCTCCACTCCCCCGTCTTTACCCCCCTCTTCTCCTGCCCCCCGCCCCCAGCAGCACCTCCGCCCTCCCCCAGCTCCACGACATCCAAACACCAGGGCACTGAGGGCAGACCGTGGACCCACCGCTCCCTGCCAGACGCCTGCCCGTGTGTGCCCGCCTGCTCCCGCCGCCGTGTCACCGCCTGCCCCGTCAGAGGGCCACCCAGGGGTGACCTTCCCTCACATGTCTGCGTGGCTCAGCTTCTCAGTTGCTTCAAGTCGGCTCAACTGGCACCTCAGCCGGCCCACTCTGACCACCCATTGAAAAGTGCCACGTCGGGGTTCCTGGGGCAGCCGACCGCTCACAGCCTGTCCCTCCCTCGCCCTGCGGGCCCAGCACCTACGGCTACCAGCGTGGCTCCCTGTGTGGCTCCTACCGGGACGGCCGGGCCTTGGCCTGCACCACAGCCCCTCCCAGGAAGCCCCAGCTCCAACACACTCGGTGGCCGGTGGCCGGCTTCACACACAGCAGAGCCACCCTACGGGCTCCACAAGCAGAACGTCCGAAGGGTAGTTTCGGCAGCACCCGGCCCTGCCGGGGTGGAGCCCGCCTCGTGGGCTCATGACCTCAGTTAACCTTACTGCTCTCCTCAAAGGCTCTGTCTCTAAATACAATCACATTGGGGGTTGGGGCTTCAACACACGAATTGTGGGGACACAGCCCAGTCCCTGCCAGGGGTCTCCTATGATGTGCGCATCTGCACCTGTCCGCCGGTCCGTCCCCTGAGCGCCTCAGGAAGCATAAGTCTCTGTGCCTCCCCAAACGCTGGTCTCACCACAAAGCACAGCACACGGGCGGCACCTGGACACCACCCGCCTCTCATGTCTCTTCTGCTGGGGCTGCGGGTCCGTCCAGGTTGGGGGTCATGGGTGCCTGATGCTCAGGCTGCAACCGTGGCCCAGCTGCCGCACATGGGGCTCTGGGGGACCCTCCCTGGCTCATGGACCCCCTGTTTGTTCAGGCTGCTAGGACAACACCATAGGCTGACTTGTACATAACATTCATGTATGTCTCGCAGCCCTGGAGGCTGAGAAGCCCCCGAGAAAGGTGCCAGCAGACTCAGAGTCTGCGAGGGCTGGCCTCCTGGATCGCAGGCGGCTGCCGCCTCACCGAGTCCCCTCCGGGTGGGCCGGCCAGGGAGCTCTCCGGGGCCTCCTTCACGGGGGCCCCACCCTCAGGACCGAATCACCTCCCGAAGGCCTCCCCTCCAAACACAGTCACATCGGGGATGAGGTTTCAATATGAACTTTGAGGACACAGACATTCAGTCTGTGCACCCGGGGTCCTGGGCAGCTGTCCTGGTAGAAATGAGATTTAGGCCCAAGGCTGCAGAGCTCCTTCTCTCAGGGATCGGGGGTAGCAGAGCAGGACCTGGAGGGTCCGGTCTGAGGATGCGGTGCTTGGGCGACCACAGAGGACAGAGGGGATCCCAGGGTCCTCAGGCAGCACCCTGGGAGTGTAGGGACTGCCCCTGGGCCCTATCGCCGAGGCCCTCGCAGCCCACAGTGGCGAGCAGCCCGCACACACGTTCAGCACCTGGTCCTCGGGGCCCCTCGGCCTGGCCCAAGGGCTTGTCCTGTCCTAGGGGAGGAAGGGACCACGGAAGGCTGTGAACACCTCCTGATCCGGGCCGGGTGCAGACGCGCTAGGGAGGTGCTAACACAGTTAGTGGGACCCTGGAATCCCCAGGAATTTGGGACCAGGGCTCCTCCCCAGAGGGCAGCACCGCCCTTTGCTGTCTGTGAGCCAGAGGGCCCTCTCCAAACACAAACAGGCGACCCCATGGCAGCCCTCCCCATGCTGGTGTTCGCCAGGCTCCTTCCTCTCTCCCCCGGGGAACACCCTCCCCTCTGATGTGCTTACTTCTGTGGATCCTCACTTCCGCAGGAGCATCCTCTCCTTCCCAGACCAAATGCCCCAGGCCCCGCCCCCATCCCACCTTCTGAGACGCGCTGGACTGATTCCCAGGTGCAGGGTCCTTTCCCTCCAGAGGGAGCAGGAGGAACAAGAAAGAGGGACTCGGGTGTCCGAGGTCCCATCCTGGGCTCCATCCTGGGCCTGGGAACCAGCTCTCATGGACAGGAGACCTCACTCTTCCCTGAGTGACTTCCATGGTGACTCAACAGGGAGGAATCACCTATGTCAGTGTGGGCTTTGGGAAGCACTTTGCACCCCGAACCTGACACTGGATGGGGATCCCCTCTCGTGTTCAAAGCCCTGTTCTGGCACTGGGAGCAGGAGGAGACCCTGGAAGTCCTGGTGCTGCAGCAGAAAGGGAAACGGGGTCTTCTGTCGTTCAGCCCAGTGGCCCCACGGGGGCACCGCCGCGCGGCTCCGGGAGGCTGACTGCGCCCTGGGAGGGGCCGCGCCGTGACGTGGACGACCTGGAGGGTGGGCACCGTGGGGCATGAAGCACCGTAGCTTCCCACCAGGCCTGGACTCCACGGTGTCCAGGTCAGGGACGGTGGGGGGCGGGGGGAGCGCTCCGGGGGCTCGGCCATCTCTGAGGCTTCCACCTCCCCGCTGCCACCCCTCTTCCCAGCCCCCTGGTGACAACACCTGGGAAACTGAACAGACACAGTTCATCTCCTGTTGGTTTTGCGCAGTATTCCTCCTTGATGTAGCCACAGTAACCACATTGTATAAGTTTTCCTCAGGAGGATACATGAAAACTTGGCAACATGCTCCTCCCTGGCAGGGGTCCCGGGCGCCCGGACTCGGGGGAGGGAGGACATTGCCCACTCCGGGCCCCCGCACCGTCCGCCGTGAGCCTCGCCCCGCACGGCGCATGAAGTCCCTCTCATTGCCAAGGCCCTTCCCGGTTCAGGTGCCGTTGGCACAGCCGTGGCCGCGCGATGGCCCGGACCCAGGTGTCCCCCCCACCGCGTGTCCCCCCTGCACCGGCGCCCAGGCTGCCCCGCCTCAGAGCTGCTCGGCTGGGCCTGGGCCTCAGAGCCTGTCCCCCAGGCCGCCCCTGGGGCATTGGTGCTTCAACACACGAATCTGGGGGACACTTGTGCGCATTGAGGGAACAGAAGGGGCGACACTTGTGTTGCCGTGGGGACAACACACGAATTTGCTGAAACGAACTGCTTCCCGGGCTCCTTTGTACGAAGGACGTGGACTCGCAAGGACAAACTGCGGGCTTCGGCGTGAAGGCCACTTTACGGTGTAACGCGTCTCCCCTGTCACACACGCACTGCGTGGGCAGCGGACTTAGGGGCTTTGCGGGTCTGGCTGCAGTGCGGCTCGGACGCGTCTCCGTGCCCAGGGGCCCGAGTCCCTGCTGCTCAGATTAGCGTCCCCACGGGCCGAGGGTCCGAGGCCGCGATCCGCGCTGCCGGCCGCAGACGACGACACCGGACTCGGAATCTCCGTCCCGCGTTTTCAGGCAGTTCCTCCGGGAATGAAGGGAAAAGCCCTGGGCAGGGCCCGGCCGGGGCGCCTCTCCCCGGTCTCCTCAGTCCCTGGGCCGGGACTCGGGGACACAGCGCGACGAGGCGCCTCAGGGCCGGAGGCGGGGTCGGCGCGCAGTCCCGGGGCCCCTGGCCCGGCTCTCGGGGTCTCCGGCCGCGGGCGGAGTCGGGGCGGGGGGGCCCCGCGGTGGGGATCCCCGGCCCCCGGTGTCACTTCTGCCCCTCACAACCTGCGCCGGGGCCTCCTTCCTGGAGACTCGTGACGCGTCCCCGCTTGTCACTCTCACTGGCGCCCGGCGCCCGGAGAAGCCAATCAGCGTCGCCGCCGGTCCCGGCTATAAGGTCCCCGCGGGCCGCCCGGGCTCGATTCGCCCCGAAGCCCGAGGATGCGCGTCCTGAGGTCGCCCAGCCTCCTGCTGCTGCTCTCGGGGGCCCTGGCGCTGAGCGGGGCCCGGGCGGGTGAGCCGGGCCGGGAGGGAACGGCCTCGGCGGGGCGGGGGACCGGGGGGGACGCGGGACCCGGGGGCGCGACCCGCCGCCCGGCCCCCTCCGCCCCCTGGACCGCGGCCCCGGGACCCGCGCGGGGCCTTGGGTCGCGGTCTCAGCCCCGCTCCGCCCCCAGGTCCCCACTCCCTGCGGTATTTCGACACCATCGTGTCCCGGCCCGGCCGCGGGGAGCCCCGCTTCCTCGCCGTCGGCTACGTGGACGACACGCCGTTCGTGCGGTTCGACAGCGACGCCGCGGACCCGAGGATGGAGCCGCGGGCGCCGTGGATGGAGGGGCCGTGGGTGGAGCAGGAGGACCCGCAGTACTGGGACCGCGAGACGCGGAACATGAAGGAAACCGCACAGATTTTCCGAGTGAGCCTGAACAACCTGCGCGGCTACTACAACCAGAGCGACCCCGGTGAGCGCGCGGCGGGCGGTCCCGACCCCCACCCCCCGGACGGCGGTCGCCCCGGGCGTCCGCGTCCGCGCTTCACCCCGAGGCCCCCGGTCCCCCGACCCCCTCGAACCCCGCCCCCCTCGGGAGGCGCCGCGGGCCCCGGACCGCGTTTCGCTTTCGGTTTGGGCCGGACGCCCGCGGTCCGGGCGGGGCGGGCGGGGCGGCGCTGACCTCGGGGCGGGGTCAGGGTCTCACACCTTCCAGTGGATGTACGGCTGCGACCGGGGCCCGGACGGGCGCCTCCTCCGCGGTTACGAGCAGCACGCCTACGACGGCGCCGACTACATCAGCCTCAACGGGGACCTGCGCTCCTGGACCGCGGCCGACGCGGCGGCTCAGATCACCCAGCGGAAGTGGGAGGCGGCGGGGGTGGCGGAGCGACACAGGGCCTACCTGGAGGGGCGGTGCGTGGAGTGGCTCGGCCGGTACCTGGAGAAGGGGAAGGAGACCCTGCTGCGCGCAGGTACCGGGGCCGGGGCTCCCCCAGGCGGCGGAACGCGGGGTCGGGTCCGAGGGCGGGGCCCGGGTCGGGGGGCTGAGTCCGCCTGGGTTTCCGGCCGCGGCCCCGGGGAGCGGCCCCCGCCTTGGGGAGACCCGCCCTGAAACGACCGCTCGGCGGCTCCTGGGACCCTGGCGGTGGCCCCGCGACCCGGGGACCTTCGCGGGCCTTGTCCCCGCCCCGCACCCGTGCGTCTCCGCCGGACCCCGCTTTCCCGAGTCACGCGGCCGCCCCCCAGGTCCGGCCCGAGGGGCCTTTTCTCCTCTCAGAGACCCGCCTCCTGCCCTGGGCCGGGCCGCGCTGCCTCGAGAACTTTCTCAGACCGGGAGTGGCTCCCAGGGGCCCCTGTCCCCGCGGGCGTCGGGGTCGGCGCTGCGTCCCCCGCCGCCGTCGTCCCGCCCCGCCCCGGGGGGGGGCACCGGTGCGGCTGCGGTGTCGCCGGGGCCGCAACGTTCCGGAACCTTCTGACCCTCCCGCGCAGACCCTCCAGAGACACGCGTGACCCGCCACCGCGTCTCTGAGCGCGAGGCCGCCCTGCGGTGCTGGGCGCGGGGCTTCTACCCCGCGGACATCAGCCTGACGTGGCAGCGCGACGGGGAGGACCAGACGCAGGACATGGAGTTTGTGGAGACGCGGCCGGCGGGGGACGGGACCTTCCAGAAGTGGGCGGCCGTGGCGGTGCCGCCCGGGGAGGAGCAGAGATACACGTGCCGCGTGCAGCACGAGGGGCTGCCCGAGCCGCTGACCCTGAGATGGGGTGCGCGGGGCGCGGGCGCGGAGCCTCTTCCCGGGGGGGTGCGGGGCCGCTGGGGGAGTCCTGCAGGGGCGGGGCTGGGGCCTGGGGTGCGGCAGGGCCCTCACCGTCCTGTCCCTTTGCAGAGCCGCCCTCGCAGACCACCTTCATCATCGTGGGAGTCGTCGTTGGCCTGGTCCTGCTTGGAGCTGTGGCGGCTGGAGCCCTGATGTGGGGGAGGAGGCGCTCAGGTGGGGGGGGGGTCTGGGTTTCTGGTCCCCCTGGGGGTTTCAAGCCCCGGTGGATGTGTGTCCCCCTTCACTAAAGGGAAGTGTCATATTCATTCATGTGCCTGCCAGTCTGGGGCTGTATTTGCTAACACTTGCTCCCTAAGGAGGCACGAGAGAGTATAAGGGACAGATTTGTCACCTTAGTGAGGCTGCTGATGGGACCTGATTCCCGACAGTCACGGATCCAAGTCCCTGCTGGGGACAGACCTGCAGGAGGGCCATTGGTCCAGTCCCCACACCTGTACTTTCCCCAGGGTTCCCCATCCTGCCCTGGGTCTGTAGCCACAGTTCTGGAAACTTCTCTGGGGCCAGGACGAGGGCTTCCTTCCGGACCTCGTGGCCCTGCCTCCTCCCTGGAGTCTCACAGGACGGTTTCTTCCTGCAGGTGGAAAGGGAGGCAGCTACGCGCAGGCTGCCAGTGAGTACGGAGGGGGGACCCCTGAGACCCCGTGAGGGTGTTGACGGGCGCCCAGGGGGCCTCCCCCCATCGTTCCTCCTTCAGCCCCCTCTCCTGGGGCTCTGACCACCCCCTGTTTTGTGCTGCCCCAGGTGGTGACAGTGCCCAGGGCTCTGATGTGTCTCTCACGGCTTGTAAAGGTGGGACCCTGACTGAGGACGGGGCTGGGGCAGAGGGGACGGGACTGCGGGATGGGGATCCTGGGGACATTCTGAGCCCTCGCTGGGCTGTTGGACAATGTCACCACCTGCAGTGACTGACCTGAACTAGTTCATGATCATTTCCTTCTGCAGCGTGAGACGGCTGCCCTGTCAGGGAACAAACGATGGAAGGGTCTTCACAAACACATACCTGCCGACCCCTGTTTGTGACGTCAGGAAGATCCTTTGCTTCTCTTTCTGCAACTGGCGTGTAACTGACTGCGTTTCTATCAGCACAAGGCGGGGAGGTGGGAGGCTGGCCCACCCCCCACCAACAAGCCCCTCCCCACACTTTCCGGTTGCAGCCGAGGTGGGGCAGGTCCTCCCCCTCCCTGTCTGTACTTCCAAGTGCCCTGAGCTGCAGCTTCTTACTGTGTTAATGAAATAAGATCCTGGATATGAATTTGTATTTTCAGTTCTTGCTGTGAGTGGTTCATGTGTTCATTAAAATCTTGAAGATCCTAAAGTTTCAGAGAAAATAAATGGAAGCATCAAGAAGTTCCCAGAACCGGCGTGCTTGCTGCGCTGAGTCTGTCGCAGGGGCAGGAGAGGCTGTGAGGACCGAGCGTGCTCAGGGCCTGTGCCCCGTCCGTGCTCAGGGCGTCGTGGGCTGTGACCTGGTCACTCTGTGGCTGGGTCACCTCTCTGCTGCTTTGTCCTTGTCCCTTTAGTAGAACCTTGTCCCCCCAGGACCTGTGATCACAGGGAATCGGCATCGCCCAGGCCTTGTCCACTGTCCCAGTAAAGAGATCTCTACGGCTGCGGGCAGCGAGGGCTCTGTGTGGATGGGTCAGCCTAGGCTCGGGCCGGTCTGACCCTCAGCCCGCATGCCCTGGGCCTTTATTAGTTGTTCGTTTCTGTAGAGCAACATGACTGGTTTGGTTCCCGTTAGGAGTCCCGGTGTCATTCGCCTCTGGGTGTCCCCTCGCTGTCACCAGGGTGGGTGTTTTGCCTGTCCTTGTCCCCACAAGGCCCAGGGGTCCCTGCACTCAGGAGTCTGTGGTGTGGAGAGATGACTTGTCAGACTCATGCCTCCACTAGGGCTGGATGTTTTCATCTTCTAAAGTGTCAAAGGAGCCGGGTTCTGGAATGAGCAGAGCTGGGATCCCATAATTTCCCATCCCAGATAAGTGCCTGTTGCGACTGTGCTCTGCTCCCGCGCTCTGTCCCTGCCCTTCGCTGTAGCGCTGGCTGCAGCGCGCCCCGGGGTGCACAGAGCGGAGGCTGCCCTAGATTCAGGGGGAGCCGCCCTGTGGGAAAAGTGCGGGGGCATCGATGTCAGCATGAGAACACATTGTGCTGTAGCTGCCACAGGACAGCTGTGGCTGAGGCCACGTTAACAAAGACACCGTCCAGCATAGGGAGGTGCCCTACGCTGACCATTCATGAACCAATAGTGCTTGTGTGACAGATTGTGGCACTGTTTCTGCGTGTGGGGAACATCACTGCAGTAAAATGGTCACTGCCGGGCTTGTGGAGCCCACGTTTTGTGGGAGAGACGGTGGGTGTGAGCACAGCCAACAGGAAGGGGTCTGTGCTAGAGGGTGAGCGGTCTGGGAAGACAGAGGGGAAGGCGATGTCCAGGGTGGGCTGTGGGGACAGGGAATGTGGCTGTTTGATTTGGGTGGTCAGTGTGGTCCTTGCAGAGAAGGTCACCTTGAGGGAAGATTTGAAGGAGGAGGCATTGTCCACAAGGATGTCTGGAGGAAGTTCTGCCCAGGCCGGGGACCCCCCAGCGCAAATGCATGGGCAGGGGTGTGTCCGGTGTCTGGGGAGAGCAAGGACGCCAGGCTGGTGCGGGTGCTGCTGGTTCAGGTCACACATGTAGTGGCCAGAGCCCAGACCAGGACCCCATAGGACCATGCGTCAGCCTTGCCTGTCCTTGTCCCCACAAGTGACGCTGGCCTGGTGCCTAACTCCCTGAGGCAGGGGGCCCGGGGAGGCCGGGGGGCCTGGAAGAAACCCCACAAGCAGCCCTGGGGCTCAGCCACACAGGGGCCCGTGAGGTCAGTGACAGAGACGGGATGGGGACGGGTCTTCATTCACATTTAAAGGGGGGTTTTTCTTTCCTCAGAAAAGGGAGGACGTAATTGTTGATTATGAGACGTGATGTTGGGGGTTACCTGTCATTCTCTCTACCACGGGGTGGAGTCAGGGGGAAGGTTCGGAGGTGGCCCCAGGCATCGTAATGGAATCCCTGAACGCCTGCTCCCTGAGGCTGCCCCCCAGGCATATTTCTTGGAGCAAACAATGGAAGCCCAATTTTTCCTAATTTAGGCATAAAACAGTATATTGGGTTCTCATGCTATTTTGGGGGAAGCCAGGAAACACACTAGAGGCCATGTAGCCAGGAGCCATCACAGTCCGGCCTGGGCCTGGTCCCACATGGGTCCCGGGCCCTGCTGCCAGGCCCAGGGGTCACCGCTTACCCACGGGCGCCCCCGAGACGGGACCCTGGGCACCGGGCGAGGACGGCTGTCTCTGCTGCCCCCCCACCCGGACGCTGTTGCTGCCCCTCCCGCTGCCCTTGCCAAGTGCACTGTGCACAGCCCAGCGTCCCCGCGTCCCCATGTCCTGAGGCAGAGTCTGGCATGTGGTCCCATCACCAGTGGAGCCTCGTGCTGTGCCCAGAGGCACGAATGTTGGGGGACGGGGGAGCTCCCTCTTTTACGGAGGGACGTTGGTCTCTGCCTCCCACCGAGGCTCTTTTCCCTTTTTGAGAGTGCGCTTATTAACGCTGCGGACAGAGAAGCGAGGAAGGGCCTGAGACTGAAGCAGCAGGAGACCAGGCAGGGCTGCTGTCTGCTCACAGGAGATCCAGAGGGAGGGGCCTTGGGAACAGTCTGGGGCTAAGCCCAGGATGAGCTGTTGCTGCCCATTGCTCCCCTGGTTGCAAGTCTCCTGGGGTCCCTTAGCATTTAGGAGATGCCCGCCTGTGGGGGAGGAGAGGGGGCGGGAGAGGCATCGTACTGGTCCAGGGAGGAGAGCGCCCCCACCAGGACTCTTCATGTGCGGAGCCTTCCCAGGTAGGAATAGAGTCCAGGTGCCGGGGGAGAGCTGGAGAAGAAAGACAAATTTCAATCCCTGGAGCAAAGACCTGAGACTGGAATGTTGTTCCTTTGCAGGCACTCAGGTTTGGCAGGAAGAACATGTGACCAATAAATAGCGTCCCAAGGAGAGGGCCTCTTGCTTGCTCTTACTCTGAATTTCTCCATTGGATGGTGAGGGATTTTTCCCTCCATTCACCCAGCATCTGATTCTCGGACTCCCGCTGTGTTTCCTACAGTTCAACTCAATCCAACCGGAAGTGCTGGGACTTGGCCTCAGACCCCTCCCCTCGCCCCCCGCCCCCCCCCCCCCCCCCCCCGGGTCAGGACTCTGTCCCCCAGGCCCGCCCTCCCTCAGAGCAGGTCTCACGGTCAGGCCCCCATGGTACCTGCGCTTCTGTCCTACTTGGCTACAAAAGTTAGGGGTCCCCACCAAGGTCATTACATCAACTCAGAACTCAGAAAAATGCTGTGCTTACTACACATTTTACTGTAAATGATACGAGTGAGGAGCCACATGAAGAGGGACAAGGGGCGAATGGGGAAGAGCCCCAAGAGCCGGAGACTCTGTCACCATGGAGTTGGAAGGGGTCACCCCCGCCCCCAGCATGCGGATGGGTTCATTAATTCAGAAGCTCTGTGAACCCCATTATTAGGGGTCTTTATGGAATTTTCACTGTGTAGACAGAATTGATTAAATCATTGGAAATTGTTGATTGGACTTGAACTCCAGCCCCTCTCCCAGAGGCTGGGTAGTAAGGCTGCAAGTTCCAACCCCCTGACCAAGCTGCTCTCTCTGGTGACTGGCCCCCCTCGGAAACTGTCCAGGACCCCCTGCCAAGCTCCATCTCATTGGCACCCTTGTCACTCAGGAGATTCCAGGGGTTTTAGGAGCTCTGTGCCGGAGCCAGGGACGGAGACCAAACACAGTCAGACCTCCGTTCTCGAATGTCTCCCATGTCAAACAATTCAATTCCCGACCAAATTGTTTATGGAAAATAGGTCTCAGTTGTCGAACAAAATTTTGATTCTTCACCTGACAACCCTTTCATGCTGATACCTGTCGGTCAGTCACCCGCATGGTTGGGATTTCAAACAAATGGCTTCTTGAAGAGAATTCCAGAATGAAGTAAGTTCAAGAACTGAGGCTTTACTCTAATTTTTCTGTTATACCACAGGTCTTTGACCACAGATCCTTTAATAGAAAAAGTATCATAACAGTTCAAAATGCTGGCACGTTCCTAGAGTCCGACTCAGTCTTCAGCGATTAGTCCAGTCCCTCATCCTCGTGGGGGTATTTACTTGGCCCATACAGTTATGAAACTTGCCCAACAGTTTTAGTCAGAGGGGAAATGCAAATTAAGCCATAATGTGATAGCACCACAGAACTCCCGGAAGGGCAAAAATTAAATTCAGACAAAACCGATTCTGGGCAAGAATTTGGAGTAATTCTATCATTATTACTAGTGCAAGAGTCAGTTGATTCAAATACTTTGAAAAATGCCATGGCGGTACATACCACACCCAAACACGCACTCGCCCTATGACCCGGCATTTCATGTCTAGTCACATACCCCGTAGGCGTGCACACATATGTGTGCCAAATTATTCACAGCAGCATGATTTGTAAAATCTGGGTATAACACAAGTGCCCATGAGCAGCAGAGGACAGGAAGTGCGGGCCGTTCACACAATCGAACCCCCTGTCGCCATGACAGTGAGGAAACCGCAGCCACGCAGGGCCGCAGGGGTGGGACCCAGGACGGAACGCTGAGGGACAGCCCCGTGCGCGGGGGCGCCCGCTGTGACGGTCCACTCCCTCCCAGGCCGACAGAGCTCGCCTGTGGTGTGAGAAGTCCAGATAGTGACCCCTGGGGATGGTGGAGGAGGGCAGTTTATGACCAGATAAGATTCGAGAGGCTCCCTGGGTGCTGGAAAGGTTCCCTGGGTGTGTTTCTCTGAACTTTGACTTTGTGAAAATCCACTGTGCGCTTATGATTTGTCCACCTCTCTCCGTGGGTGAGGTCCTCCATGAAAATATGCTTTTCTGGATCTTTTAAGTAGTTCTTCTCAAGCCAACATAGAATTACTGTTACTGAAAACTTTTAGAAATGCTGACTTGAAGTACCCACTGCAACTTTTTAAGATCCAAGGACATAACTTTCTGTGATGGAGACACAGGAAGAGAATCTGATGGGAGAGCAGCGAGCCTGGGCGCGGGCTCCCCCGCAGCCTCAGGAACGGGAGCCGGGCAGGCGCCTGGGCGGGGGTGGGAGAGAGGCCCCTGGGCACTGCATGTGTGACCCACGGGCAGTGGCTAATGGGCTGGCTGGCCGGTCAGGAACGTGAGGAAAACGACCTGGGACCTGAGACGTGGGGGAGAGATGGGCCCATGGGCCTCTCGCCGTGGACGGAGCGG